ATCACTTTCACAGCAGAAGACTTACTTGCTAGACAAAAAAAAAAAAAAAAAAAAAAAACGACAACCAAAAAAGCAAAACATGCAAAGCACCTTATTTGTGTTTCTATTCTGTTCAGGCCAGTTAAGAATAGAGACAACTGTACATGAATTTTTAATTACCAAGTCTGCAAAAAAAACCCTACATAAATAAATTACAATGATTTGGACATGCATATGTGAATATTTAATTTGTTTTTTCTAAAGTTAAGTATTTTAGGAAAAATTGTCAGCAGCCACCATCAAGAGTTGGTGGCCGCACTTTAAGGCCACCTTAAAATTTGTTGGGAGAACCCCTGAACACAGCACCGTGAATAGTTTTTGATAGTAAAATGTCAATTTACCTTTAAAACGTTAATGGCTTTGTATAAACACTGACTCCCAAGTTCTACTTTTTAAAATATTTGTGCACTGAGCTCTCAGTAAAAAATTTCTTGCTTTTCTTAGAGCTCTAGAAATACAATGTCGCAGAAGGCTGAAACAAGCAGCATCTCTCCTAAACCTCAACTGAAAAGCAGGAAGGAAATAGTGAGCCGAAGAGAGAAAAGGAGGAAAAAGCCAAATAGCTGAAGCCTAACCACTTGCTTTAAAAAAGTTGCACAAAACTTGCAGAAGTCTGGATTAAAGATCCCATAACTGTGTATTCACAACGTTATGTGCAACCCATCATTAAAAACGCTCATACCAGTACAGCATTTTAAGAGTATAATCCTGTGACAATACATTCTTTGAGCGTTGTAATCAGAGCCTTGTATATTCTGCAAGAGTATGTTGATTCTTATTCATCATTCTTACTCAGGTAGGAGAGACTGGTCAACAGACCTCCTTTCTGAACATTCTGGCATCTGGTCTCATTCCTGGCTCAGTATCCTCCAGCTCCTGTCCTCTCCCAAACCTCTAAATCCCCCCTTTCCATGTTTTCCCCATACCCATCCCAACACCCATGTCTGCTCCCTATGACCAATGGAAAGGTCTCTCCTACTCAGGAGGAAAGCCAAAAGCATTTGATATATGCCTGGAACCCCTAAACCAGTGGTGCCCAAACTTTTCCCAGGGGCCAAGAGTGGGGGCCAAGGGCTGGGGCCGGAGCAAAGCTGGGGCGGGACAGGGCAGGGGTGGGTGGCGCTCCCTCCCCGCTGCACCTCCTGCGGGGGGGTACGCCTCATACTTTGGGGACCATTGCCCTAAACCATGGCTAAGTAGCCTAATCCCTACAAATGAAGAGCTGCAGCTAAAAGTCACAAGAAAAGCTAAACTATAGTAAAAGTGAGAGGTATTAAACATATTTGCAAAGAGGCCTGTTACAGAGAAAACTGTACAGAAAAAGGACTGCTAGAAAGCAAACTAACTGAATTACCACCAAGTCTTTACGAACATGGATAAACTGGAAAATAAATTGTATATATATATATTGCTAGAAAGCAAATGTTCATAATAATTATATTTCCTTAAGTGACTAAAACAAGCTGGGCCAAAGACTGTAGGGTGGAAAACCATTAATTTAAATAGTTTATGCTGCACCAGATTTTACGATTACAAAACAAAAACATGCTTAAATTATAGCAAATCCTGCTTAACAAAGTACAGAGTAAAATTTGCCTAGGTTGTTAATTTTCTTCAAGATCATCTATACTAGTCCAGATGCTTGGTTATAATTTCTCCCAACCAAGCATCTGGATTTGTATAGAAGATCAATGAAAGAACACATACTGTGGAACCATCTGGTAGAAAGTAATTTCCTTTGCAAGACACACTTGTCCTTCAAGTAGAGTGCTAGGCATTGGAAACAATTCTAATAAGTTATTAGCCTTTTTTTTTTTTTAATTACATTCTTTGGTGCTTTAATTCTAGCTATGCATATTTATCACTGCTGCAAAAACAGTGGCTTTATAGCAACAGGAGTATTAGGAAGAGGAACAAACCTACATTGATAATACATAAAAGAGCACATCACACCGTCACTTGGGGCTTTCCTAGCTCATACCTCAGGAAATGTCCCTGTTCTTCTTAAACAAAGACACTGGACTCCTTGCTCCAGTCATATGTTCTATGCTAGAGAATGTCAGATAGGAGTGGGAAAAGATGTCACTTTGCTTTGGAGCACAAAGCTTATAGCCAACACATTAGCCTAGACAGACTGTTACACAAGAGAAACACCATATATATCACAAAAGCCGTTTCCCCCCCCCCCCCCCCCCCAATTTGAAGCTAAAATGGCCTGCTCCTGATTGAAGCTGGGCTCATGTGTTAAGTATCATATTCCATCGGGGAGTGCATACCACCTGCCAGTCCCACCAGTGGAGAGAACTGGAGCACCTCTTGTACAAGAGCCTTCCTCCAACAATTGAATCTGTACCCAGGGAATAGCTTATAGCAGGGATCTCAAACTCAAATCACCACAAGAGCCACATGAGGCTAGTACATTGGCCCGAGGGTCGCATCACTGACACCTTTTCATATAAAAGGTACAAAAGCCCGCCCTCCTGTCCCCTCATCCACTCCACCCCTTTCATGAGGCCCCGCCCCACCTCTTCCCACCCCTTCCCCACCCCCATTCCAACCCCTTCCCCAAATCCCAACCCATGCCCCACCTCTTCTCCGCCTCCTCCCGAGTGCACGGCTCCCCACTTCCTCCTGGAAAGCACTAAGCGCTGCCAAACAGCTGTTTGGTGGTGGGAAGTGCCTGGAGGTAGGCAGAGGAGCGGGGACATGGTGAGCTGGGAGGGGAGGGGGAATGGCGGGGAAGGGGAGCATGGCAGCCACAGGAAATAACTCCGGGGGGTGCAGGAAACTTGGTGGGCCGCAGCAAATAACTCATGCGGGCCGCATGCAGCCTGCATGTTTGAGACCCCTGGCTTATAGCATGAGCAGGCATAGATCAAATGTAGATAGAAGGTATTTTTACTTGCAAGGTGGGCTAGAGTTCAGAAAGTTGAAGTTTTCAGAATTAAAGCAAATCCACATTTTGCATAATAATTCTCTCCCTTCCTGGGTAAAAGTCTCGATCAGAAAAATTGACAGCCCCAGCTTTTCACAGTTTTGGATTTTTTTACTCTGGCAACAAACATTACTGCAATACCTGGAGGTAGGGTCTCCACACTTTGTACTTTGTCTTCCCCATTGTTACTGCGAGGGTCTTTCTTTTTTAGTGCATCAATGTCATTTGGGTCCTCCTGAAAAAAAACAAACAAACAAAAACTTAAAACCATTTCTTAAATTGGTATGATTAATTTATATTAATTTTCTGTATTTTCAAAAGGGATGACTAGTCACTTTTACTCTTTGGCACTAACATGGCCTTTAGACCCTTTTAAGGGCATAAAAACCTCAAGAGATTTGTTTTAGGCACCAAGGAAAAGAGTGGCAAATTCCCCAATTTTTCCAAAAATAGGAAAATAAAACAGCGTTCTAGACACTGGATCAAACATTTAACATATGTGGCAACTACTTACTCGAAGAAACATCTTGCTATAAAATAGAAAATTTATTATGAAATGTGAACCTAAATGTAATCTGTGATACTGAAGTTTGTTTCTACAAAGAATCGTGATGGCAAAGTGTGACGAAAACAAAAGCTAAATAGTGCATGTCCAGCAGTTTGCACATTCAGAGTACTTCTATTTGAATATTTATAATAAAAGCTAAATACTACACAGCCAAGTTATTAATAATTTTCATCATATTCTGGGAAGTGGCTTTCTGATAAAAAAACTTCTGAAAGGGCCACAGCAAGTTGCCATTTATGGGTACCCATTTTGGCAGAACCCATGCTGATAGTAGATTTTCAAGTAAAATTTCCACTGGATTTCTGACTATACTAAAAATACTAACTTTTAGTGAAAAAGCAACTATCAGTCTTTTTGAATTCCAGGAAAGATATTGATAAATACAGGATGAAAGTTCACTAACAGCCCCATTTTTCTTCCTGCTTAATCCCACAGAGAAGTCATAATCATGTGTTCATGGTACCATACAAACAACTGATGTCAATTCAGCATTAGGATACATCACAGAATCAAGTTGGAAGAGAAAGTGGGATAACAGGAAGCATTTATTTTAGAGACTATATTTGGTAATTAGGTATATTACTACAGTGAGGTTTTACTATGAAGTGTCTATGGAAAAGCCTTTATTCTACACATCTGCACTCTATTTATTCAGTCAGCCGCGCCTATTAGCCCTGCAGAGTCAACACAATTAAGGAAGATTCTATTCCTTCTCCTGCATTACAGTTATTTGCTAAGTTTCAATTACAGAGTCAGTTTCCCTTGTGAAAACTCACTAAGGGCAGGATTTGCCCTGCAGAATCTTTAATATTGATGGTAGCATGTGAGAAGGAATGAACCAAGCTTGACACTCAGTCAAAGCTAAGCAAGCAAGGGCAGTTGAAACACTTAGTAACAGAGTATTTTTGCTCTGAACGATGTTGGAAGGCAAACATTGACATTAGCTATAAAACAGTAAAAATTTGTAAGGGAACTCAAGGGCAGGTGTAGTTGGTGAAACTACTTTTCACTCACTACCATCTAGATTTCAATGTTGTGTCCCTATAAAGGAGACATATCCTATCCTTTCATGAAAATTCAGAGTACACATCTGTCAAAGCATTTCTAAAGCTCCCATCCACTGTAGATTACCAATGCCAAATTCAAAATTAAGTACTTTGTGTGCAAAGTTTACATGCATTGCTGCTTAAGCATAAGTATATTTTTAGAGAGCTTTTTGTTGTTGTTTTTTAAAAATCCACTACCTGTGCAAATACTGAAACTGTGCAAGTTCGAACTGAGATTTTATAGATTCAGAACAGAACAGTAAACAATGCTTATCAGAAATTTGATTATTCAGAATTCCTTGGCTATTTACAAGATTCACATATTTTGTAGTAAGCTATATTCTGCAGCAAGAGGCTTGTTTTTACAGCACTATGGTGCAGCAGACTGGAAAATCTGGTCCAGCGTCATTCAAGTTCAGTGTGCCACAAACATTTGTACTGACAACGTACAACCGCATCAAAGAAGCTGTAACAGAAAAGCTGGGTAGGAGATATTTGTAGGTTTCAGCATCCAAAAAGTCATGGCAGACAGTTGGAGGCTGTGAGATAAACACATTAGCTCCATATATCTGATAAACATCAGCAGTGACATAATGAAGTTGATATTTAAATGGTCATCTTTAGGTTTTAGAATTTAAATCTCAGAAGAGGGATACAGTTAAATACTTTTCAAGTTGCTTGCTGGCTCAGGAAAACCTCACACCTTTGTTCAGATTGGGTAGGTTTTCTTCACAGCCACGAGAGCTAGGAAGTTTTAGATTCTAGAGTACAACTCTGCAGCAAGGAGTGGATTCTCCAGAACATTCTATGGCATCACAAAATATATGGGGCCCTACTTTCACATAAATATCTTTATTATATATCTTAAACTCTTAAAGCTTAAAGAGGTAACTAGTTATAACAGAAAAATCCATTAATCTGCCTTGTACAAGGGACACCCAAAGAGACTTAGTCTCAGATACAGACTTGGCACTGTGAGCCTGAATAGAGAACATTTACCCTGACATCTTGAATCTCAAAATGGTTTACAAAATATATACAGGAATTACCTCACCTAACTTCATGGGTAGAATGTGGCAGGTGTGAAAACAGTACATGAGAGATAAGCACAGAAAATGAATACTTAATCCAACTAAAATTATAGGAGAATTATGGATAGGCAGAATATTAGTTATCCAAAGCACATGACTGGTCTGTGCAGTTCAGGAATATTTATTCCTGGAAATCAGATATGTAGTTCTGAAACAATGATTCATTATTGTTGGTAAGTAAAACATCAGAAAGCCCTTGCCTCAGAGTCACTATTCTGGGCTTTCCTCTGCACTCATGTGGAGGTTTCCCTTAAAGGCTAGCTTCCTCTGCCCCTGGCTTCTCACTCATGTTTGGAAGCTCCTCCCCCATCAACTTCCTTCTTTCAGCGGTCCTGAAATTAAAAGATGGGCAGAGCTAAATTCTGTTTATGAGGTATGTAATCTGATAACTGAATGTGTGCACAATTAGAAGTTAACAGTGTATCCACCTTCCTTGAACTGTTGATGTCTTTAAAAGAAAATAATTTCCCCCTTATTTTAAACATTTTCCTTAACAACATAACTTTACCAAGTTTTGCCTAGAAATCAGCTTTAAATTAACTTTTTTTGTGATTCTGATTTAGGTTAAATTGGCAATCAATTTGCTTTCCCTGGCAAAGGAAACTCCTTGGTATCAAGCCCCTCTCCAAAAGAAAAGCCAGATTATCTGGACTTGATTACTAATGCACCATAATATCACTACAGTTGCCAACAACTCTAAAATTTGTAAAACTATCACAAGAGCAACGACTAGGAGAATCAGGTCCAAAAGTGAAGATGTTTTTACAAAATAGAAGTGTAGGTACCAAGTCCCACATGTTGAAGCCTAGAGCAAAATGTTAAAGAGAGCTATAGCAATTTAGATTAACTGACAAGGACAATAAAATGCACAAGCCTAACAAAGCAATAACCGTTCTTCCCCTTCCCCATACATATTTAGGTCAGACTCTTTTAGTGGAATAGCATTCAGTGGTAAGCGCAAGATACTGCAAATACAGCTATGCTTGCCATAGGAGAGCATCTTAACAGATTACTATTCATATTCATACTCATTGCTAAGGTAAAGCGTTATATTGATTTAATGGTGCAGAATATAGGAGGCTGGGTGTGCAAATCATTCATGCCTTCCTTCTGGCATTTGGTGATATTTAAGGAAACTAAAGTGAAAGGCCAGTTCTTATTTACAAGCTCACATCAGACATGCTGGTCAGTCAAAGCATGCAGGATTTTTAAGTGCAGGTTAGCAACTGGCTCAGTGGATATCAATAATAAAAGAAGTAGGGAGACCTGGTCTCAGTGAGGTAGAAGGTCTCAATTTTCAATGGCCATTTCCTGCCCAGCCGATTGGTGGGGAGAAGGAACACCTATTGGTCTGTACTATTAGCAGGCTACAGAAATAAGCTACCTCCCAAAACATCTGGAACACAGTTGTTTACACACAATGAAAAATCATGATTCTATTACTTCTCCACCCAAAAAGAAAAAACTGGGAGACGAACTAGGACATATTTCCTGCAATAAATCATTTGTCTTTTACAAATGATGGTCAAAGCAGTCATTTATTCTCAGATTATTTTACTGTGTCTATGCAAACAGATATGTATAGTCACATTTCTATGGCAAGTGCAGGCTCAGCAACAGAGCTATTTATATTGAGCTATCAGATTCACTGGACTTGGAAAAATCTAATAAGCCAATCAAATCTGTTTGATTTACAAGAACCCTGAGTTATCCGATGCTATTGTGAGTGTGCAAGACAGCTTCAGTAGGAAAAAATAATAAAATTCCACACATCTCCACAGAAAAAAAAAAGAGGGTCATGGAAATAGTGACAGTGAGCACCAATACTTGCAAATTGTTAGCAGCATGATAACAATGTAATAAAAGAAAGGTCTGTCTAGCTAATTTTCAGACTTTAGAGTGGCTCCTATATTCGTTAGTAACTGCACAGAATAGCTCTTTTATAAGTAGTTGATAGGAAACTTATAGCTCTTATTCTGCATGTGCTGTATGTTCTAAATCCCCATGTAAAGAATTGTTTAGCAGGAGGAATTCCAAACACATACAAAAAGCAGGTGACAAAAGATACTCAGAAATAGAACCCAAGGACTGTTTAGCCAAAAGCCCTATTCCACAGGTCCAAGTTACATCATTTGTTTCTCACCATATATATTCCTATCAAAAGTTAGACTATAGAAAGTCTTTCTACATGATTTTCTATAAACAAAGGTTTTCAATGTGATAACTGAAGACATGATTACAGTGGTGCTTGTGATCAGACACCCATAGGAGTTCAGAAACAGCAATCCCAGAATCAGAAGACTGGATAAAATTCCTTGCATTGGGACAGCTCCTTCAAGAGCAACCATACAACTCCTCCATTTACTAATATATCAGAATTATAACTCTGTTATAAACAACAACAGGATGCACGTTTGTATCAAGGTGTTAGAAATAAAATGTAAAACGTCCACTGACTGACACCACGGGTATGTCTACACTGCAATTAGACACCCACAGCTGGCCTGTGCCAGCAGGCTTGGGCGATGG